ATCACAATTAATTTTTGAGTAATGATCGATTTTGATAACAAAAGTACTCAATTTTGACATTATGGGGATTTTCTCTTTATCACTAGAAAATCATTACATCTAAACAAAATCTGTTTATCAATAATATCTTTTTAGTTCATAATAAACAATTTATTCCTAAAAAACTTTTCGCCATCACCTTTCATTCTTGACTTATGATCGATTTTAAAACCAAAATTACTCAATTTTGACATTTTGGGGATTTTCTCTTTATCACTAGAAAATCATTATGCCTAAACTAAATTTGTTTATGGATGATGTCTTTTTAGTTCATAATAAACAATTTATTCCTAAAATTACGTACAATTTCACAGCCGACTACTGAATTTTCGATGATTTAAGTAGCATTAAGGAAATACGTGTCATTAGTTACTTAAGTTTTTTATGAAAACGACAATTTTTTTTAAAAATAATAAGAGTAAAAAAAGTTTTAGAATTAAATTCCACATGAAATGAGGTAATAATGTATTAAATCCACCAAAAGGTTAAAAAAATCTGTCCAAATTTAGGGGACCATCACCCTTAATCAACTCTTTGAAATGCCTCAATTGGTCTCAATTTGCTACCAATTAATACCTTCGGTACACTCATAACGTATACCAAATTTGGTTTTTCTACCTTAATGTATTACGAAGATATTCAGTGTTTTAAAAATTTAAGACCCAACTTTGAAGGCCTATAACTCCTCACGGGTACAACTTAGTATAGAGATAAGTTGCGTTAAATCATCTTAATTTATTGTCCTCTACATGTCCTTGCTCTGTGTCGGTTCTTATGTGAATCACCCTGTATTTTTCAATAGTCCGAAAAATATAGTATATTTTTCTGAAAAAAGATTTCAGTTTTCCTAAAGATAAAAAAAAAATATTTAACTATAAATTGTCACAAAACTATTTAAGGATTTTTTTAGTGCAGTTAGGCGACGTTGTGGATATTGTAACAATCATACTGCACTACAATTTGAACAAGAATACAGAAAACTATTAGTACATACCGGCAGTAAAGGGGCAGAATTTGGAAATGCAATTGCATGAGATTATACTAATATTTTAAATTGTTCATCAACACTCAAAAATAAAAATGACGAAATTGAAACACTGGACATTATAGACGTTGCGAACTTAGACAACATGCATTTACCTATCTAACTACTATTTTCTAAAAACTAATATTACTTGTTAATTTTGATTAAATATAGTAGAAGGAACTAGTAATATTTCCATGCTACAGATACAAAAGACATAACTTTACTTAATTAGAGAAAAAATTATTAGAGACTATAAACGACAAAATGTATTATTCAATAACAAGAACATACTTTTAAAGTTAAGTAATTCCATTTTATTAAGTTTACCTCAAAACATTTATGATCTTTTTGAAGATCATGTGTATGATGATGCATGTTATTGATGGGCATGAAATACAATGTATAAAGTTAATAATAACAAAATTTATTAACGTAAAGTTATTTAATGAAACCAAGTTAATAAATCAAGAACCTAGGCTTTGACATATGTTAAGTAAACAAAGATTATTTTCATATCAATGAGAGTTATTTTAAAACTTATATTTATGAGTTAAGTTTTAAGTTTTTTGTTATGTAATAAAAATTTGTAAAAATACCAATGTTATTTGCAAATACAATATTTTTACTGCAGTATTTACCATGAAAGTACTGTAAAATTCTAATTATATCATCTTTAATTTACTTGTAAGAAATAAACTGTTCACAATTTATACGGTTACAATTATAAATTAATTAATTACAAAAGAACTCAAAGTTTACAGTCCTTAATAAACATTTCAACCATGCTCAATAAAAAAAAATAGTGATAATATACATTTCTTCATGTACGCCACTGTGTAAGTCTGATTTTACCGAAACTATACACGCCACTGTCAGTGGGACCAATACCAAAACAAACACTCGAACGTTGGCTTCAATCTTGTATACGGGCGGAGATAGGCAATGCTGCTTCTAGTTATACAATTTCTTTGCGTAAAACAGGAGAAATTATAAATTAAGAAGACTTTAAATGAGTAAATTTAAAATTAAATTTGAGCATAAATCTATAAAAATATTGGTTTGGGTCATGGTGTCCATTCGGCTGGAATGAGATACTTTCTTTATGAGAAATGATAACTTCTCAATGAGAGTCGTGTTTAATAGCAAAAATAGAAACGTACTTTTTTAATGGAATATTTTTACAAGAAAGACAATTATCACTTGAAGAAACATAAATACTATTACATAATCTTTGTTATTTATTTAACTTTATAAAAATTTAAAAATCAATCCAAGGTCGTTAAACATCATGAATATAAATTACTCCAAGAAGAACAAGACGATAAACAGAAAACAGGTTTCAATTTTAATTTACAATAATTAAAAATTTCACACCAAAGTTGGTATATAAAGGAAAACTCGTTGCAGAGTTTAAGTTAGTTTACAAAATGAAATCGTTCGTTGTTTTGGTATTAGTGTTGTGCTTTGCTTGGTCCCAAGGCGAAAACGAAACCGTTGGTAAGACTACTTTTTCTTTTAATTATATTTCAGTTTTTATTTTTAATTCAAAACTTAATATTTCGATTTTTATTTTTTAGGGTGTAGCATTTTAAATGGAAATTTAGTTTTAAAACCAAACGAAGCATTTGAAATAGGAGACGCTTGTTTGAGAATTATATGCCGAGGAAATGATGTGTTTAATATCGCTACGGGGTAATTAATTACTTTTTAACTAAAGTTTTAATTATTATTTGATTTTGATTTTGTTTTGAAGATGTGAAATAAGGTGGAGAGGTGCCCCATCCGATTTCTACAAAAAACAAATTACACAATTAGCTGAAAATGTAAGAAAAGGTTATGCTTGCAGCGGAGTGGACGTCCCAACTTTTACCAAGTAAAAAAATTAAACTAAAACATTAACGTTTTTCCAACAACTATTGTTATGTAAATTCTTCGAAATCATAAATGTTGTGATTTAATATTCTAAAATAAACCGGGGATTTCTTGGATGTTTTATTGTTTGAAAAATAACAAACCTAACATAAAAACCGCAAAACACTTATGTAAATTAAGATTCTTCGTCCACTATAAATACTCCTCCTTTCGTTATATTTTGATAGTCTTGAACTAGAACTCGATAAGAACTCATTATGATTTCTTTCAAAGCTTTTTCTTTGGTGTTTTTAGCTGTGATTGGTTTAGTTGTTACAGCACCTCACGATGGTAAGAATTTAAGAATTAATTTATAATTTATAAATCAAGTAACTTTTTAGATGATGATCATTCAAAACATTGCCATATCGATGGATTTCCAACTATTCACGTAAACATTGGTGAAACTATTCAATTACCGGGAGCTTGTTTGAAACTAATTTGTCAAGAATCAGATCAATTTGAAGTTGTAGGAAGGTAATATTACAAAACTTACAAAATTAATGTTATTTTTGTAATTATGCGAATAAGTTAATAGAATCGAATCATATCATATCATATAATTTGAGACTCAATTTATTTATATGATGATATATGATGAATGCCCGGCTCGTTAGACACGAGATGTGAGGCAAGTGCTAAATTGGCATTATTGAAATAAGTGGATAGGTAGGTCTTGCTAAGTCTCACCCGCCTACCACTGCTTCATACACATGACAAAGGCATTTGACAAGTTGCGCCAAATTTTATCCCAAGTCATAAAATCTAACACCGGCAACGTAACAAGGATCAAAACGGATGAACATACAACCTCAAATATCGAAACGCCAGAAGGAATCACACAGGGAGATAGCTTAAACCCATTTCTATTAATCTTCCGATGAATGAGATTATAAGACAGTTGGCATTATTGGATTTGGCATAAAGAATGAGAATCATAGCAATGCAGTATACAGGGTGTATCTGAATGACTGCAGCAAACTTCAAGGGGTGATTCTTTAGTGAATTTTAAGGGTACTTTGATATATGAACCATGGGCGACTTCGGCTCCCCTAAGGAGCTACACCCCTCCAAAAATGGCGGAAAATTTTGGTTTAATTTGTTTTTCTCAAAAACCATAAACGCTAGGAAAATGAAATTTGGGGAATATGTTTAACTCATAATAGGGCACGTTTTGACCCTATTTGTACTTTCAACCTACCCTTCTAAACTACTAAACGTAACCACCCCCGTTCAATTTATGCCTAGATTTTTTTTATGAAGATGATAAATACATTGGAAAAATTTCAGTTAGATAGATAAAACTATTCTAAAACTTTTTTGTCTCTCTGATGTTCTTCTAAAATTTAATAATTTCTGAGAAAAAAAATAATTAAGCAAACACTAACTGTTAAGCTGTAGGGTTGTTAATCGAAAGTTGGAATGAATTTTTAATGAAAAAATCTTAGTAGGCTTTGCAATCTTTGTCAGAAATATTTTTGACGTTTAAATATCAGTGGTTTTCTTACTTTATTATTGTTTTATTTAAAATTTTGAAACGTCGAGTGAACGAGCGTAAATGCGATAGAACTTTATTCAAAAATTAATTTGAAAAACAATAATAATAGTAAGAAAAACTGACATTTAAACGTCAAAAATATTTCTGACAAAGATTGCAAAGCCTACTAAGATTTTTTCATTAAAAATTCATTCCAACTTTTGATCGACAACCCCGTTGTTTAACGGGCAGTGTTTGCTTTATTATTTTTTTTCTCAAAAATTAGTCGTTTTTGGAAAAATTTTAGAGAGACAAAAAAGTTTTAGGATACTTTCATCTACCTATGTAATTTTTTTTTAATGTATTTACCCTCTGCATAAAAAAATTTTAGCAAAAATGTAAAGGGGGTGGTTACGTTTAGTAGTTTAGAAGGATAGGTTGAAAGTACAAATAGGGTGAAAACGTGCCCTACTACCAGTTAAACATATTCCCCAAATTTCGTTGTCCTAGCGTTTATGGTTTTTGAGAAAAAAAAATTAAACCAAAATTTTCCGCCATTTTTGGAGGGGTGTAGCTCCTTAGGGGAGCCGAAGTCGCCCATGGTTCATATATGAAAGTACCCTTAAAATTCACTAAAGAATCACCCCTTGAAGTTTGTTGCAGTCATTCAGATACACCCTGTATACTTTCCATTTACATTGCTGTTGAACAAGCGAAGTTTTCTTCTTTTTGAAATGTTACCAAGGCGCACGAATGTTTCAACTCGTTCCAAGTCTCTTTCATTCACAGTTAACTTACCTCCAACTAAACAGAATTCCAACATAATTAATCCTCATCTCTTTCGTTCTTTGAACATTGACTTTTAGTCCTGCTGCTTCTGTTTCATTTTGCAGTTTTCTCAGCTATACCGTCATGTCACAAAATATCTGTGAATGTAAGCAAATGTTGTCTGCAAACTCAAGGTATTCAAGTTTATGTTTCATTTCTCACTGAATACCATTTCTCCTCTCATCATTGTATTTCTCTCTACTGCGTGCTCCCTCCTCAAACGATTTTCGACGGAGTCCTTAATCCAATTCAGAATTATCTTCGAGAGTACTTTACTTGGCACTCACAGAAGAGTGATGCCTCGCCAGTTGTTACAATTAGTGGTGTCCCCTCTCTTTGGTAGTTTTACTATTAATCCATGTTTCCAGTCTCTAGGCAACTTTTCTTAATCTCTATACAGGGTGATTTATAACATACGGAGGAGACTAAATGGTTAGGTACTTGAGGTCAAACTGAAGAGATTTTCTTAATAATGTTTTGTTAAAATCTTAATAGTTATATAGATATCGCATGTTAATTTTTTAAATAAGTTAGCGTCAACTTTTGAGAACCGCTGATATTCACTAAAGAACAATTAAAATACTTGTCAACGCCATCCTCATTTTTGAAGGAGCTGTCAAAGTAGACAATTTAATTGTTTAGTTTTAATACGTAATTTATGAAAAGAAATAATAGATGTTAATTTATGAAACGGATAATAATAATGTTTTAAATGCAAAATTACAAAATCTCTAAAACAAGAAAATAACATAATAATAATAATAATCTCTTTATAACATATGTTCAAAGTGCTGTCCTTGCATTTCGACGCACAACTGCGCACGACGAATCCAATTTAACGATAATCGTGGAAATCGTGGACGTATGTCCTCTGTAGCGGCAGTGATGCGATGTCGTAGTTCGTCGATTGTATTAACCTCGGTGGCATATACTCTATCCTTCATGAATCCCCATAAAAAAAAGTCCAATGGGTTAAGATCGGGACTACGTGGTGGCCATGGAATAGGTCCACCTCGACCAATCCATTTTTGCCGAAAAGCATTATCGAGGAAATCTCGTACATTACGACTAAAATGTGCAGGACAACCGTCGTGCATAAACCACATCTCACGTCGCATAAGTAGCGGAATATCTTCCAGGAGTACTGGCAGATTTTCTTGTAAAAACTGTAAATAAGAAGTTCCATTAAGAGTTCCTGGTAATTCGAAAGGTCCTATTAACGTATTGTTCACAATTCCCGCCCATAGATTCACTCTGAATCGTTGTTGAAAAGAGCCTTGACGAATAACGTGTGGATTTTCGTCCGACCACACATGGGAATTGTGAACATTTAGAACACCATTTCTGGTAAAACAGCATTCATCCGTTACCAGTATACTGTCCGCAAAATCTGCTTCTCTGTTGGTACGATTTAGTAGCCACTCGCAAAATTGCAACCGCAAAGGATAGTCAGCGGGAGTCAGTCCTTGCACTTTTTGAAAATGATAGGGGTGTAAACCGTTACTTTTCAACGTACGCCAAACAAAATTCTGGGATACCTCGAGTTGGTGAGAAATTTGACGAGTACTCGTGCTTCGATCCGCTTCCACAATTTCTAGAATTTCTTCTTCCACATTCACTCCATGTCTGTTTAGTCTACCGCCACCAAGACCTTTCTTAGGTTGCAAATTTCCTGTCTCTCTTCCCCGCTGGATTAACCGAAGAAAAGTGTTTTCAGAAGGGATCTGTCGATTTGGATATCGTTCTAAATACAGACGTCTTGCGTGTGCAGCGTTTTCTCCAGCAGCTCCATAAATAATAAGCATATCTACGTATTCTTCGTTACTGTACATTACCATTGTATTTTTTGATTAGTAAAAATTCTAATTTTGACGTTAAATGACATTGATTATTAAAATTAAATGACATGTCCGTTGCTAGGTAACCAAGTCAACTGGATTGACAGCAATAAAAACATGGTATCAGCGGTTCTCAAAAAACAAACACCAGTTTTTGAGTGATTTAACAAATTTTTAAATAGCCGTAACTGCCATATTACAAAGATTTTATTATTGGTGCTAATCAGGCATTGCTTAAGTAACCCCGAAATATTCGCAGTTTGAATTTAAACGTAGTGTAATACCGTATATCGTAAGAAATGCTGGGCAATTAATTCAACTTTAATGCTCTATATCTTTGTGATTATTACGTTGTAGTCAAAACATTATTAAGAAAATATCTTTAGTTTGGTCCCTACTACTTGCTCTTTTAATCTGCTCCGTATGTTATAAATCACCCTGTATATGCAAACAGATAGCATACGGCCCATTAAGATTTACGGTATAGAGACTTGTGAAACAACAACACAAAATACATGTCCTAGGCAAAAAAAAAGACACAAAATAAGAAATACTAACATTCGAAAACAGTACGGGATAGAGGACGTTGTACGATGAGACAGCAAAAAAGAGATTAGTACAGCCATGTGATGAAAATAGTCTAAGAGAACAAATAAAGAAGAGCTGGGACTCGGAAGAGCAGACGAAACTGACGAAACATCTAATATATGAGGAAAAGAGTAGTTATACATCATTGACAAAAATTATAAGATCAAAGAAAAATTCCTAAGATGTTAACCATTAGAACAGCGATGCACAGACTTATTAAGACTAGGGGCCACTCGGGCAAATCATGAACTGATGGCGGGCCGCCAGAAGTATAGGTAATTAAAGACAATAAAGAATTGATAATAATGTATTAAAATTGAAAAAGAATTTATTAATTTGAAGCGTGGCACTGCATAGTGCTTACAATCTTTTTTATATTTGGCTCAAATTTACTTGTAGCAACACGTAAAACTGCTTCCAAACTATCATTTGCAAGGCGGTTTCGATTTTTTGTTTTATTATTATTTAGTATTGAAAAAGTTTGTTCACATATATAGGTAGAACCAAATAAGCTGGCACATTTCAGAGCGTTTATGCGCAACTCTTTGTACATATTTTTATCAATGCAGCGGTAAAAGTTCTGCAAGTCTCCTTCGTTGAATTTGTTGCGTAAATCTTGGTCGTTTTGAATGTCGATAATTTCTAACTGCATTGACTCTGGCGCATTTTCAACTGAAATCGTGAAAGGATTGCTGAATATGTCCAACAGAGGTTTCACTTTTTTAAACTCCGAAAATCTGTCTTGAAAAGATTGAATCAAAATATCTAGCTTTTCTACATAACTGAAATTAATCGCAGTTTTGTTGAATTTTTTAGCCATTTTCTTATAATTCGGAAAATGATTGTAATTTCCAGAATTCAATTGCGATCTGAAAAGTGTCAGCTTGCTTTGAAAGGATGATACATGAGCGTAGAGCTGGGATATCAGTTGATTTTTGCCTTGAAGCCGTGTGTTCAAGACATTCAAATGATTTGTAATGTCAACTAAAAAAGCCAAATCACACAACCAATCAGGATTGTTAAGTTCCGGGACATCCTTTTGCTTTTCCGCCAGAAATATTCCAATTTCTTCTATTAAATTTAGAAATCGTTCCAGTGTCAATCCACGACTTAGCCACCTTACTTCTGTATAATACAGTAAATCTCCATATTCGCTTTCGATGTCATCAAGGAATTGTTTGAATTGCCTGTGATTGAGTCCTCGTGATTTTATGAAATTTACAGTCGAAACTACCACTTTCATGACATTTTGAAATTCAATTTTTTTAGAACAGAGGGCTTCTTGGTGTATAATGCAGTGAAACTGCATGAGATCTTCAGCGTTTATGTTTTTTTCTTGCAGATGCTTTTTCAGCAAAGTAACTAGCCCGGAATTGACACCAATCATCGAAGGAGCACCGTCAGTCGCAACTCCCGATAATTTTGATAAGTCCAAATCAGTTTTTGAACACTCATCCAAAAGTACATTGAGTATATCAACTCCTTTGGTTTGACCTTTCAATGAACACATTCCTAATAACTCTTCTAAGACTTCAAAATCTTGAGTAACACCTCGTATGAATATGAGAAGTTGAGCTGTGGAACTAATATCAGTGGATTTGTAGAGTGCTAATGAAAAAAATGCAATGATCTTAGTTTTTTCAGTTAATTGTTCCGCAATATTACCTGACAAAGACATAATTCGTCTTTGGATAGTCAGACGATTTAGTTGAATTTTCTCAAACTTTTTTGCTGCTTCTGGACACATTTTCTTAGCGGCCATTTCTATCCATTCTTCGCTTTGCTATCATTCGAGAAATTTCATAACTAACTTCTGTAGCTGTTTCTGAATCTTGAACGGGTTTTATAAACATAGCTTGCTGACCAATAAGCTCCCGTCTCAGTTTTATGGAAAAACGAATGAAACGATAAACGTTGTGATCCTAAACCAACTATCTAATTTTCGATTGGACATGGACAAACTCGTGGATCATTTTTGAGGGAGTGTTTTACATAAAAGACTTAACTTTGTTTGCTAAAGCGTTGCCAAAATATTCAAATCCATTTAGAGAAGGTGAATTTTGCAATGATGTCTTAGATATTTTCGTATAGACTATAAACAGAAATTTACTACTATATTAAATCTATTCTTTCTGCTTATTTAAAGTAAATTGTTTTTTTAGTCCCTTCTTTTATTTTTAGTTGTAACCAAAAACCAAATTCACCAGAAAATGTCGATTTCGCTAAAAAATTGGTTGCCGGGGAAAAATGTCATGCTTAATTGAAGAAAGATTACATTCTTTTAGTTTAAAATGTTCGTGATTATGAGAAAATACACAGAATAAAGATTATAACTAAAGAAACTGTTATTTTAATACGTTAATAGTATTAGTGAGAGTAGTAAGTTTTACTTTTACAGAAATACTTGGTTTTTAGGGGTAAGTAAAAATACTTACATTTCGTAATAAAATGTTATCCATAGAATTTAAATTTTATTGATAATCGGCTCCACCTAACACAAAGAAAATAACCCTTTAATCATTAAATTTCTTTTAAGTATTCTTTTATAATCCTAATTAATACAAGTATAATTAATAGATAACCACTCTCTCTCGTTATTTATTATATTTTAATTTAGGCACTCTCATCTTTTACTTTCTTAACTCACCTTTTTTTCTGTTTCCTAGAATACCAATACCTCGTGGTTGCTAATTTGTGCAACACCATTCTTCAAAGTGCCATAATTTAAAAAAAAATCGAGTCACACGAGTCCGTTATGTTCGCTTACATAATAATCATAATCGAGGTCATTAAGAACTTTATTTTACATTTCGCACACCGTTTATTATTTTCAAAAGAAAAAAAGAAAGGAACAAGAAACATTATTGTTGTTGAGAAATACCATTTTCTTCAAAAAAAAATTAATTAATGAAATTATTTTTGATAAGAAAATTATCGCAATTAAAATGTTTCCGTAATTAATGATAAAGATTTATCGCTATTAAATTAACTAGTTGAGATAGGAGAGAAATGAGTTATTATTTTGACATACCTCAAATTAAATAAGCCATTAACCTACTTCAAAAAAAGCATAATAATAAGTAAACTCGCCCTTATAAAATAAAAAAAAATTATTTCACTCTCACAAAACAAAAACGACTTTCTCGTCGTTAATTTATTAATTAATTTTTTTAATGGTTTTCTTTGTAAGATTTGTGTTGTAAAACTAACAATTCTCGTGCTCCTACGGGATAAAGAAAAACCGGGTTAGGCCCGGACCACGACCCCAGTCACAACTGAATACTGAGCCACCCCGGAACGTTGCTCGTACGATTCCGGAACGCCACTGGCACAGCATCCGAAGAGGAGCCAACGGGTCGATAAAACCCTGATTTATATATCCTTATTGCAGTGAAAAAGGGGAAACAAAAAAATTGATGTTAATTTCATAAAAAAAATTATTTCACAAAACTTTATCTCCCCAATAAATATTTTCCAATTCACGATTCCACTTTGAAAACGTAAAATATTTTACGTGCTCTCGTAAATATTACAAGAGGAGGCCACTTAGGCTTATTTCGAAAGTTTATGTCTCAACCGTTTATTTATTTATCCATCGACCACGTTACGTTACGTTACGTTTCAGTATGCCAACATCGTCTTCGTACTTTAATAAGTTATTCGAACGGAACTTTACTCTTGAGATAGCAAGACGTTCCATCTTGTGCACCTCTTGAATTTAATTTTAGTTCCAAACGTAAAAGTTTCTTTTCAATATTTTATTATTCGTCTTAGTCGTTTAATCCATTTGCATCATTCAGAAGAAATTACAAATTGGCCCATATCATCAAACAGATATAATATATTATAAAGAGTTACCTTTCATGGATGTTTTGATCACTAATTTGGATTTGGATTTAGCCGCACGTCCCTCAAGACGGCTAAACCCGAATGATTCTAGTTCTAGTGTTAGTTCTAGTGATAGTGCTAGTGTAAAACTAGAACTAACACTAGACAAGAACTAGAAACATACGGGTTTAGCCGCACATCTCTCAAGACGGGTAAGCCCGAATGATTCTAGTTCTAGTGTTAGTTCTAGTGATAGTGCTAGTGCAATACTACAACTAACACTAAACCGTGAAATAGAAACATTCGGATTTATCTGCACGTCTCTCAAGACGGCTAAGCCCGAATGATTCTAATTCTAGTGTTAGTTCTAGTGATAGTGCTAGTGCAATACTAGAACTAACACTAGATCGTGAAGTAGAAACATTCGGATTTATCTGCACGTCTCTCTAGACGGCTAAGCCCGAATGATTCTAGTTCTAGTGATACTGCTAGTGCAATACTAGAATTAACACTAGACCTAGAACTAGAAAGTATCTGAACCCTTTAGTCTGAAGACACACGGTTAAACCCTAATTATAATAAAAGTAGTAATAATTGTATAAATAATATTTATTTCGCTCTCTATTGTGCGCTTCGACGATAATGGCCATAAATTAAGCAAAATCGCTTGAGATGGTAAAGTTAAGTCGGAAATCTAATCAGTGCCAAAGTATTCGACGAGTAATTCAAAAAGTGACTCAGAGTAAAATGTCACGGATAAAATTATATAAGAAGAGACAATCACTATCGATTAAGTTGCGTTACGATTAAGCGTACGATGCCTCAACCGAGTTCAATATTTGAACCAAATTCGATTTCGTGGCAATGGAGAGATAAGTTTTATAGAGAAAAAAGGATTATGTACACGGCTGAAAGTGAAATATTTAAATTACAACTTAAATTGATGTAAGTTTTAAGAAATCTATTTATTACCTAAGTTAAGAGGTTAATTGACTTGAATTGGATGTAATTGTTAAAAATAACTTGTGTTTCTAGAGAGAACAATAACGGTTTGAAGAGACGTTACAGACGTCCGAGGATTCTGTACGGTAGTTTTTGCGGTTTATCGCCCAGTTGGCAATATGGAACGGAGTATTTGAATAAATTAAAAGATTATTGTAATCAACGTAACGATCATGAAAAGGAATAAATAAATAAAAANCATTCGGATTTATCTGCACGTCTCTCAAGACGGCTAAGCCCGAATGATTCTAGTTCTAGTGTTAGTTCTAGTGATAGTGCTAGTGTAAAACTAGAACTAACACTAGACAAGAACTAGAATCATTCGGGCTTAGCCGTCTTAAGAGACGTGCGGCTAAACCCTAATTATAATAAAAGTAGTAATAATTGTATAAATAATATTTATTTCGCTCTCTATTGTGCGCTTCGACGATAATGGCCATAAATTAAGCAAAATCGCTTGAGATGGTAAAGTTAAGTCGGAAATCTAATCAGTGCCAAAGTATTCGACGAGTAATTCAAAAAGTGACTCAGAGTAAAATGTCACGGATAAAATTATATAAGAAGAGACAATCACTATCGATTAAGTTGCGTTACGATTAAGCGTACGATGCCTCAACCGAGTTCAATATTTGAACCAAATTCGATTTCGTGGCAATGGAGAGATAAGTTTTATAGAGAAAAAAGGATTATGTACACGGCTGAAAGTGAAATATTCAAGTTACAACTTAAATTGATGTAAGTTTTAAGAAATCTATTTATTACCTAAGTTAAGAGGTTAATTGACTTGAATTGGATGTAATTGTTAAAAATAACTTGTGTTTCTAGAGAGAACAATAACGGTTTGAAGAGACGTTACAGACGTCCGAGGATTCTGTACGGTAGTTTTTGCGGTTTATCGCCCAGTTGGCAATATGGAACGGAGTATTTGAATAAATTAAAAGATTATTGTAATCAACGTAACGATCATGAAAAGGAATAAATAAATAAAAAAGAAATTTTCTAATTATAAGAAATGATTTAAATTAAGAACACCCCAGAGATGATTGAGTGAAATTATGTCAATTTCTACCGTGAAATTGAACGATTTTGTGAGAGATTTTCGAGGGATCGATGTCGTAAATTTAGTTTATCAAGAACCTCCTTTTTTAATTGATAATTAAAATAACTAATTTTAAAGTGATATTTTCCATTTTTGAAACATTGTTATTTATATGTCAAGGTAAATATTAGAAAACCGATTTGGTACTCGAAACGTTTTCATAAAACTACTATGTGGGTTAAGTAATTACAATTGGTGTTATCGCCAAAATAAAAAAAATGATAAAAATTAAAATAAAAACGTTCTATTTTAAAAATAGAAAAATTCCTATATGATAATAGATAAATGTGGAAATCAATGTTTTGCGATAATAATAAATTTTTTATTTATTTATAGAAATTACTAATTTGAGAACTTATTGCTTCTATTTTATGAAATAGATGATTACGAACAGAATATCAATGCGCTTTATGACGAAAATCCAACTCTAAACTTCTGTGATGAAACAGATAATGAGTCAGAAAATGAAATTGATAACGATATAATTAGTGAGTAAATATTTTAATTGAAACTGCCCTAAAAAGTCCAACAAAAAAATATTGTGTTATGAAACCACCCTGTGTCAGATGTCTTGGTAAACATTTAATAGTGGAGCCTAAGAAACTAAAGAATGCCAGAAATTACAGAAGCCAATTGCACCGTTAAGGAGTTACTGGTAAGTCTGAAAATATTATTAACAAAAATCTAACTCAAAAGCAATAAGAAATCGTCTTTATCTAAAAGTCTTTCTTATGGAATTCTATGGATTGGAATCCTACAGTATCAACAAAAATTGCAAGCTGTCCTAGATGTAGAAAATATTGACATATGCCTTGTTTCTAAGTAATATAAAATTTAACGGTATTTCTATAGAAACTATCATTTTGCTGTTACCGGTAACAATTTCGACTAAAAAATTACTTTCTACAAATATCGTATTGTTTCTAGAAAAGTATAGACCAGCTATATTGAGTTCTTAAAGAGTTAATGAAATCATACTTATTATTATTAAATTATAGTAAAAAATCATGTCAAAATATCATTCCTCTGGCATGTTATAACTGGAGACGTCTAACATTATGTACATATTAGACAAAAATCTATTAACATTCTTCATTTGTAATTTTACATTTTGATTAAGCAAACCTGAACTTTCAGTAAAACTAATATAAAAATATGTTTCACTTTAAAACTCCCCTCAAAAAGATGATAGAAACTATGTTACCACCTTTAGCGGTCATTCCTCTGGCTCGCAAGAAGTACGTAAATAATATGATGGTAGATGGCGATATGTCTTCGCACGCAACCAGATATGCTTTTCCTAACCTAGTTCTTGCAGAGTGTCAGTAAGCAAATGTTGTCGAACTAAAACAATACGTCTTCTTTTTAACGTTTTGTTCCCAAATTGTTAATGTCACACACAGATTGACCATTCCTCTGGTAAGTGTATTTAATTTATTTATATTTTTGTTGCATCCATTCCCTCATTTAAATACGAAATAATGAGTTTCCTTTCCGTGGACCAATTTGTAGGTTAGGATTCATTCAATTTCCTAAACTAAAAACTAATAAACGAAGAAGTCGTCATTCCTCTGGCACCATTCCTCTGGATTACTGAGATCCAGAGGACTGATGACAGGCACAGAGGAATGACCAGTTCTAGAGATGCGATAAATGTATTTCTATGCAAATATCATTCCGTGAATACAACCCTAGGGAACGCAGTTACTACTTCAAATGGATGGCAGAAAAATGCACGTATGTTGACAAGACATCACAAAAAGAAAAGCAGGTTAGAAAGACATCAAAGAAGAAAGTTGAATGCCAGGTTTCTGATATTATAGCTGATTTTAAACAAAGTATTATACCATTTCTGAAGCACAAAGGCAGATCCTTACATCAGTACAAACAACTCAAAGAACTTAAAGAGAATCTTCGAATTACCGAGGCGGTTATTCACATGGATTTTAGTGAAAACTACAACATGAAATATGCAGAAGAGATACAAGCATTCCACTTCGGAGGATCAAGAAAACAGATATCTCTACATACTGTTGTTGTATATACCAAACAAGATGAGGTACAGCAACAATGCTTTTGCACTTTATCAGAATCGCTTCTACATAATGTCCCGGCCATTTGGGCGCATTTAGACCCAATAATAAAGTGCATAACAAACTCTTACCCAACAGTTGATACGCTTCACTTTATTAGTGACTCACCGTCGACTCAATACCGTAATAAAACCATGTTTTATTTCCTAGCAATCGAGTTGCCAAAATTGCACCCAAAAGTAAAAAATTTTACTTGGAACTATTTAGAAGCTGGTCACGGAAAGGGGGCACCTGACGGGATAGGAGGAGTTACTAAAAGGACGTTAGATAGATTGGTTGGTCAAGGAGCAGATATGGTCGAAATAAAAGCTATGTTGAATAACCTGTGCCAAAACATTCAGAACATTACTTACTATCAGATTGATGCAGACAAAATTAATGAAATGTCCCAAAAACTTAAGAATGTTTTGCTACAAACTTTTAGAGGAACAATGAAAGTACACCAAATAAAAAAAGAAGATTATGAAAGTAGCATCAGATTAAACTTTTATGAACTTAGCACTTTCATAAACGGCAATAAAAAATACTTCATTGGTTCCCTTAAATTCAACAAAATTGGGCTTAATGATGAACTATCTTTAGTGACACGTCTAGTGATGATGAGGACACTCCTTTAAGCAGATATATCAGCGGTTCCATAAAAGTTCAAAACAAGCTACAGTTTGAAGATGTTTATTCTGACGAAGATCAAGAAGCTGCTTGTTCAAGTGTAAAACGTTAACGTTTTTTCGTTATTGCATTGAATATTCTTTTGTTTTAAGCAAGTTTGTATTTTAGTTTTCCCTATTCACTGTTTTGGTTTTAACATGCATATTATGCCTAATATTGTATTATTTTGCCGTATCAAATAAAAAAATCATTCCCCTGCTTATCTCGTCATTCCTCTGCATATCGTTTTTACAAAAACAAGTCAATTCTGGCTAGACAATAATTGAACTGTTTGATCTTGAACTTTGCAAGGTTCATTTTGAACAAAAGTTCGTGTTTGTGTATTAAAAAACAAAATTTGGAACAAAAAACTATTTTCAAATTACCACGTGAAAAATGATAGTTTCTGTATAATCACCCTTAAAGAGTATGTGTACCCTAAAAATGTAGCCAAAGGTGGAATCAAAGGAATCAATCGAGCATCATCCAGAAATGGGATATAAAACAGAACAGTCTCAGTAAAGGCGAAAACAAAAACATTATTGTCTCCGCCTAGTCATTCTCTAAAAAAGAACAATGCTTAGACTTAATAAGCATGAATTCAGATTCATTATAGGTGGTGCCTTCAATGCTAAACATGTCCAATGAAGATCTAGGTTAACTCAACTAACATTATAATAATATAATAATAATAATAAATGTCTTTATTTGTACCCAATAATTATAACTCAAAATAACATTAGAACATTAGAAAATAACTTAATTGTTATATCCCGAAAATAGAAGGAAAAAAAGGTTGAGAAGGGTACAAAAGGGCGAAGTTCAGTGACAAACACTGCTTAAACTTTACCCCAAAAAAAAAAATAAAAAAAATAATACATGAAATCAATGAATAAACACCAATAGTAATAATTATAACAAACTTACAAAAAAAAAGAAAAGAAAACAAAGAAAGTGTCTATAACTCTCGGTTTGTATGTAAAGTATCCGTCCAACTAAATAAACGATTACAAAGTTAACAACATTAATGAAATTAATACAGGCTCATTACGTTGGGGTAACTTAAAACTAGAGAAACTAGAGGAACTAGAGGTAGGCCACCCAATCATGCACGCTATTTATTCTGCTAGTAATCAAATTTTGATCGATTTGGTGAAGTTGCTCCCCGTACAGGGCACAGCGTATGCGTCTTCTAAAGGAGTATGCTGTTAATATTTTGATATTTTCCGGTATGACATTAAATAACTTGACTATTTGATAACTGAACGACCGTTTAAATATCTCCGTTCTATGTGTAGGTGGGGTAAGTAAACCCCTGAATCTTAGATTCAGATTATGAACATCCATGATTAGGAGGTACTCTGGTTTCTGCATTTTGATAATTTTATAATAAAAAAAGCATGTATGCGCGATTCTCCTTCTGTACATATTTAACCATCCAGCATCACCTAACCTGTGAGAAATTCTTTCAAATTTTCTTACGCCATAGATGTATCGTAAACATGCGTTCTGCATCCTCTGTATACGCTGCTCATCAATTTTCAATAAACAGGGCCCATATATCACATCCCCGTAATTAAATTTCGATAATATTAAAGAATCACACAGCAAGGTTTTAACCTCTATATTAAGATGTCTCGTCGGATATAACATTTTTAATTTTGCATATGCCGCCTGTAAAATAGATGATATATGTCCCCGGAATCGCATTCCCTGGTCAATTATCAGACCCAAATTCCGAGCTTCTTTTACTAAAGGAAGCCTTAATCCATCAACCATAACCTTAACATGCGATTCTAACTCAATTGTATCTTTTTGTCGCCCAAAAAACATTACTTTTGATTTGTTTGGATTGATGATCAAACTGTGCTGGTTAGCCATCAAGACCAGGTTATTCAACTCTTCATTTAAAATTGCAATGGCACGGCCCAACTCGTCAGGTTTTGAGGAAATATATACCTGAGTATCATCCGCATACAAATGAACCTTGCAGTGTTTAAAACTTCGTGTAAGAGCCGAGGTATAAATTGAAAACAAAGTTGGTGAAGGTACAGAACCCTGAGCAACTCCGGATTTCAAATACCAAGCCCCAGATACATTCTCACCCGATAGCCTCACCTACTGCATGCGATCCGACAAGTAACAACAAAAAAAATTTACCGCTGTCTCCTCCAGACCCAGATGGCACAAACTTGAAAGCAAACGACTGTGATTTACGGTGTCGAAAGCCTTTGTGTAGTCTAAAAGAACCAGCACAGTCACCAAACCTCTATCCGTAGCACAGAGAATGTCGTCCAGTACACTAACCAAGGCAGTAATCCCGACTGAACAACCGGTAATATTTTATTTATCTCCAAGTGTTTCTTTAATTGCATGTTAATTACTTTTTCTAATACCTTTGACATCACTTGGCAAAATACTGATAGGCCGTAAATCAGAAACAAGAATAGGGTTACTAACTTTGGGGATTGGGTGTACAGCTGCCAACCTCCACGCAGCCGGAAATACACTATCTGCAATACAGAAGTTGATGAGATGAGTGACTATGGGAAGCAAGTAAGGAAGACAAAAATTAAGTATTTTGACTGAGATACCGTCTGATCCCATCGAGTTTGATTTAATTGATTTAATAGCTAAAACTACTTCGTTTTCGGTCACAGGGCAAAACTTTAAAGTGCTTTGAATTAAATTACTTATTCCGGTATATAGATCATTATCAGTAGCACTGCGCACATTCGGTATTGCATCTATGAAGTAGTTGTTATTTCCGGATGCATCTTGTAAATGATCCGGTAAAGTTTTGTAAATGAGACGTTTTTAACATATGCCAGGTATTCGCAGTGTTACCTTTCCCCATCAAACTTTCCAAATATGTTTCTTTTTGTTTACGGAATTCATTTGTTACAAAATTACGCAAGTGCTTGTATTCATGCCAAAGTAACGGGTTTCGCGTTCGTTTATACGCACTGAGCTTCCTATCCCGATCCCGCATGACTATTTTTAAATCAGGTGTCAACCAGGGTGCGCTTGGTTTTGTTATTCTTGACGTTTTTTAGGGCAAATCTAGAAGTATTGATATATTAGAGACTAGAAAGGCCACTTTCCCGTCAATTGTATGTAAGTCATATATGTTACGCCAGGGCAGAGATTTTAGATGATCATAAAATATCTGCTCATTTAAGACTGAAAAGTCTCTATATGTTTTGAAAAGAACGGGGTTCACCAGAGTTGTGAGGTCTAATTCAACATACACTAACGCATGATCTGACAGCTCGCAATCAAGCACACCACTATCAACAACTAAGTCCTCATTGGAGACCAATATTAAATCCAGAAAGCTATCTGATTTGTCCGTTACCCGCGTTGGTTTTGTGATTATTTGATGCAGCCCGAATACCTCCAAAGTTTGCATTAACTTAGATACATTAACCTAACATTCGTATTTTTAACTTTCATCTTCATCATCTTCCGCCTCTCCTATAAGCATAACTTGTGTTCTGTCGTTATTCGCCTTCATTCCAAATTCTTCCAATGTCAAATTCCATTTAACTAGTGCATAAGCACTACTTATGAAATGTTATAAACTTTTATCCATCCATTTTCCAACAATAATACTTGTGTTGGTTTGAGATAGTTTCATGTTTCCTCAAGAAATTCAAATATTTATTATTTTATAATCTCATGTCAATAATCAATATTTGAAGATATTACTTGAATTCATATTATTCTAACACATAAGTTTATTGTTTCATTTACATTTTATTCGAGCCATTCATTATCTAGCATTAATTGAAAAATTAATTTCGTAAAAGAATCGCCTCAAAAACGAGTTTTTGTTTCTACCTCTACGATTCATATCGACACTTTCACTTGGTATAGTGTGTTCACGCCCTAGTTACGAAAATGCACAATCAACTTCTTGTTTAACCAACATGCAAAAAAAATTTAATTGACATCTTTGTTTGTTACTCTCTATTTATTGTTTTCGATGTTTTTCGAATGTGTTATAAATCTTTTTTGGGTCCTTATTGTTAAAGACGTTGATGGGGAGCTTAATTAGGTGATGTGTAGAGACCAAAGAGGGTTCTAGAGTGTCAAGATGGCAGGAAATCGATGAAGAAAAAAAAAGACGATTTTATCGTAGTGAATCTCTAGAACCGTTTAGACTTTAGTGTTTAAAGTAAACAAATCCGAACGTGAACAGTTTTGTTTCAATTTCAGGTCATTGATACCGTTCTAACAAATTTTTTATTTTTAAATTCTTATCTTCTCGTTGGATTATTTTTTTCCACCACCCCTTTTTTAAACTTAGGGGGGCCACGTGTTCTTAAACTCTATGTATAGAGTTTAAAGAAGAAAGAATGTTTTAGAGTTTTAAATGTAAAATAACTTTTCGGTTTTATTGCGAGGGACACTTTTGCAAATTAAATACTTTACGATCCGTTTCATCTTAAAGTTGACCTACTTCGACACGAAATTCAGTATCGTTTTCATTTCCTACAAGTTTACGATGTTGTAGTAAACTTTTTGAATGATTGAAACCAATATCGCACGGTTTTGAGCCGCATCCTTCTTGGTTCTTTTTATACCTGACATCACACCGACCTATGTTGTTTCTCTTTGTCTCGCGTTTTATTATTTTTTCGATTATATCAGAGATTTTATGTAGGTATGCGCTGACTAATACACCGACCGGTATCCTCTGACGGTAAAATAATCGGTTTCGACACCAAACTGGTTGCTGGTTATTGTAAATCGCCTCTTTCTATGAGTCACTCAGCGTACTGTACTGAAAATGTATGGTTCGATGGTCATGCAGTCATTGAATTTTAAACAAATCATCTTCTATTAACAGAAATATGAAATGATTAAAAATAGATTTGAAACCGTATTTATCAATATTTATTTTTATTCATGAATGAATGGTGTAATAAAGCATTTAAAAATTATATCATGGTTTCTTCTATTCATATCTCTTTAACAAAACCATTATGACTTCTTGTACAAATTTCAAACGTTAGGGATCTTTTTAATAGCATCTCTTTACAAAGTTTATCTGCCTCTCGACTATGACGTTGGTTCATTATCTATAGTTTACCACGATGGGCACACTGAAGTTAGCTATGGGGATTTGGAAACTGCATCATCAATAAATATCAACCCAGTAAACCCTTCCCGCGTTTTTGTTATTGAGGACTTTTTTCAAGATTTCCACTCCATAGGTTAACTTATTATGGCTTCTATTATTTTACCTTTGTTGTTGCTGGAAGCGGCGATTGTACTTTTATTCACAAATTATACTTTATTTGCCGTTGTTGTCGCAATACTATACAAGTTGAGTTTAGAAGATTTGGCATAAATAAACTTCTTTTGGGGAACCTTCTCGGTTTCTGGAGTTCGTGTTGGATATTTATTTAATCCTTTGTGTCCCGACAGTACTTTAAAGTACCGGTAATTTTAAACACTCATTTTAAACTGTAGTCATCTATTCGGCGCATTTAGAGCTGTCGGTACTTTCTACTATACAAGAAAGAATCTGTATAAAAAATGACACAATCCGCACTGTAGGGTTTTTAGGTATATTTAAACTTATTCGTCCAGATGTGAGGTTAGAAGTTTAGTGAAAAGTGGTCTTGTTGAATTTTGTTGTTCAAAAAGGTAT